ATCATATTCAGCATTTATAGAGCACTCTATACAGGATGTCCAGAAAATCGGCGTCAATATTTCGAGAAGTGATTCGGGGCCCAAAAAGAAAGAAAAAAAGCAATATAAACATAGATCTAGAAATAAGTCGTTTCCGAGTTATAACCAGTTTTATGTTAAAAAATTGAAATTTATTTTCCATAATTACAATCATAATTTGTTTCATAGTGTTTCAACATAAATAACTTATACATGTTTTATTTTTAAATTTTTTACTTTTCATTTTTTTAATTTTTCGATATTTGTAAATACGATTACTGGATTATTTGAAAAAACATTTGGATCCTTCCTTATTTCTTCGAATCCATGGATTGTCTTAAATCAGCAATGGGCGCATTTCTGTAAACTATTGACTTTACGTGACCCCATAAATAAAAATCAAATGGATTCATATTCGGTGATCTTGAGGGCAACCGGACCTCCACGCCCTATCCATTCTCTGGCCATAATTTCGATTCAAATGATCTCTGGCTACACGGTTAAAATGGATTCGAAGAAATAAGGAGGGATCCAAATGTTTCTCAAAGAGTTCGGAATTCCTTTGATAGAAGAATAAGGGTCTGCATTCGTGCTGAAGGTGGTCATTTTGAACATTTTATTTAATTTCTATTTAAATACCTGTTTATGTTTATCTAAAAATAATGCAGAGTAACCGTATTTACAAATATCGATATTTTATTATGTATTTTTACTTTATATAATTAAGAGGCATTAAAGATTTTGTAATCTAAATAATACGTCGAAATTAATTTTTTTAAAATATATTTCTCTGCTCTATCTTTATAAAGAAATATTAAAAATAAAAATAATAAATAAAGGACGAAGTAAGAGTCAATACATAAAAATTATAGTCCGAAAATTGGTAAAACATGAAAGATTAAGTCAGTCTGAATATAAAATATAAGATAACATTTAATTAAATAAATTGAGAAACACATAACATTTAATTAAATAAATTGAGAAACTACAAGTTTCGGCTACGCGATTGAGCCCTCTTCAGATACAATTTTACAAGAATTTGATATACAAAAAGTTCACGCAAAAAACGCATATTAAATACTAATCGGATGTATCAATCTACGCCGTTCACATGCCATTCGTGGTCAGTGTCTCTTCGGAATCTGATTACAATATAAAGTTTTATTACAAAAACTAAACGTATAAATTCTGACAAATAATATCTTACCAAAAGCCATGTGTAAAATTAATTTAAAATTTTCCAGAGAAAATCGGTTATGAATGATATAAGCCATTCGTAGATATAACGCGAACATTGTGCGACAATTATAATGTACTTTTCTTAACACATCCGATTACCGATACAGATCAACACATACTGAGAGAGGAGACGGAAAGTTAGTAACAAAGAGTCAAAGTTTATTTATAATAGGAGTATATGCCTTGTGGAGACCTTCCGTGTCAGTTTGTAAATTTAAACTAACCGTCTGCTTTTTGATGTTGAGCATCTCGGAAGTTAGGCGTTTCCTGTAGCAAGGTTCTTCATCCAAAACTCTTACGTTGTCCCATTGGAAGTCATGGTCATACTGTAATCTGTGCTCCGTTATGACTGATCGAGTAGATGTATTATATTTGATATGATTACGATGCTCCGTAATTCTAGTTTTTAATTGTCTGCCTGTCTGGCCCACGTATGATGCATCGCAATTGTTGCACGAGATCTTGTAAACTACATTTCTTTTTGATGTAGAGGGGCATTTATCCTTTTGAACCTTAATATATTTTCCTATCTTATTAGGACTACGAAATGACACCTTGATGTCGTTACTATTGAGCCGCTTAAATTTCTATGTGTGAAGAGGAATAAATGGTACCGTAAGCCACGATGCTGATTCATTAGTACAAACATTGTCAACCAAAT